TCTGACACACTCAGCCCATTTGTGGGATTATTTTATGAATATTCTAAACTTATTAAAATATCTTTGCATGAATTTACTCCATATACTAACCATTTCTGATGTAAAAAAAGGTCTTAAACTCTTGCCACTGAGAAAGGGGAACCCTCTTACCACTGTTGGTGGGAATGCAAGCTGGTACAGCCACTCTGAAAAACAGTATGGAGGTTCCTCAAGAAGTTACCCTAGGACTCAGTAGAGTTACCCTAGGACCCAGTAATTGCACTACTAGGTATTTATCCCAAAGGTACAAATGTATTGATCTGAAGGGACACCTGCACCCCAATGTTTATAGCAGCAATGTCCACAATAGCCAAATAGTGGGAAAAACCAAGATGTCCATCCTCAGATGAATGGATGAGGAAGGTGTAGTATATATATACACTGGAATATTACTCAGCCACCAGAAAGGATGACTACTTACCATTTACATTGATGTGGATGGAACTGGAGGGTATTATGCTGGGTGAAATAAGTTAGTCAGAGAAAGACAACTATCATATGGTTTCATTCATATGTGGAATATAAGAAACAGCTCAGAGGATCATAGGGGAGTCATCAGAGAAGGAGAAAAACCACTAGAGATTCTTAACTATAGGAACAAATTGAGAGTTACTGGAGTGGGGGTGGGTAGAAGAATGGGTAATTGGGCAATGGGCATTAAGGAGGGCAATGAAGTGATGATCACTGGGTGTTATATGCAACTGATGAATTATTGAACTCTACATCTGAAACTAATGATGTACTATATGTTGGCTAACTGAATTTAAATAAAAATAAATTCTTGCTACTGAAAATCCAATATTACTATTTATATTACTTTTTCAAGAAGTGCTTTCTCAACTGTTTATTGCATGTGGTAATAATATAGTTCATTAGTTATCTATTATAGACATTTGGCGAAAAAAATATTCTATGTTGAGTTCTATTTGCTCAGAGATTTTAGGTGAATATTAAATTTTGCCATTTTCACTGCAGCCAAGTAAATGAATGCCATTTTGCAAGTAAATTTTTAAGGTTAGAAATGTTGATATTTTGATGCCCACTATATAAACAAGGCTGTTGAATATATGATTGCTTTATGATTATATACGTATGACATAAACACAAGGACAAAAATTTAGATGTTTTTGTTTTTGCATAAAATTAAATAAAATGGATAAATACATGTAGAGATTTATTATAACTATTAAGTAATTAGACCAGTTTTAGAGTTGTGCTCATAATGTTCTAGTTACATATCATGTATATATAAATTCAATGTGAATTTTAAACTTCCTAGAAGATTTAATCGAAAATTTACTAGCTTATGAACTACCTATTATAATGAAGAAGTCCATTATACTGAAAAAGTAACTTTATTTTTAGATTTCATTGAATCTAAGAGTATTTCTACTGGACAATGTACCTTACATACTACCTCCCCAAAATTCTAACTAAACTATAACATAATAACTTCTATTGCTTAGAATTTTGTTTTTCTAATTAATAAAAGAGCTATTTTAGGCTCATTTACACACATATTTTCATTACTCTTAAGCATTCATATAAAAAAATACAAACTGATTATACACCTCAAACATATTTGCATTCCAGGTCCAATTCTTCTGAATCACTTTTAAATTAGAATTGTCAGTATTTTTTCCCCAAACTTTTTTTTTTGGTGTTACCACACACTTTTGTGTGTTACCAAAAGTATTGGTACTGTGGTCTTTCTTAAAATAGTGCTCCAGTATCATCTCCAGTATTTTTTTCCAAGTCATGGACATTCAGCTTACCCATTTTGAAATTGGCATTTTTTTAACTTTCAGAAGATTTCAGAAAGGTTTTCAGAAAACAACCAGTACTCTTATCCCTTTCTGAAATTATTTTTAAATAGTTGTTAACAGAAGTATCAAGGCATTGCAATTGTTGCTTCATGTCCAGGACTATAAACCTAATCCGTTTCTACAGCAACAACTATGACCTGACTGTTCCCCACCTGACAATGATTATAAGATGCCTACCTGTTATAAGTCATCCTGATTTCAGAAATATTAAAACATGAGGAAAGGTTTGTAGCAAAGCTTCTGTATATGCCACATTTATTACCCTATATCCGGAGCTCCTCTGAGTAAGTCCTTGCAGTTTAAAGTGAGAAATGCCCATGTGAGGAGCAGCTCAATTGCAAAATGACCTCTGCATTTCAGAATTTCACTCTGTGAATTACTGAGTCATGGCATAGGTATTCACTGGGAACTTCTGGCCTCTGAAAACAAAGGGAAATTCTAGGGGTTCAGAGACATGGAGAAATAAGAGTTTCTCCTTTATCATAGTTAATTGAAGATTATAATTGTAAGTTTTTGGTTATTTTAAAATCTCTAAATTCTGGATTTTGTCACATTAATACATATTTTCAGTGGTTCTGATATGATTTAACAATAGAATTTCATATAATCTTACATTCACCATTCTGTTAGGAATTGGGAAAAAAAAATAAAATCCAGAGAGTCAGAAGGTCTACTGAATTTTGTTTATGGCATGTCCCTGAATCAGCAGCCAAATATCCCTTGAGCTGGACTTTGTCTTCAGCCTTCTGTACAAAATCAGTCACGGTATTATTATACCTTAAATATAGCTGTTTTCAAAAATTACTGTCTCTTTGGTTGCACAAATATTTTTTATCTTGGTTCTTAATCTTGTTTGCCCTTATGAGAGTGTGCCTCTCTGTGGGTCCCTAAGCATTCTTCACATAGGACATCACTACAACTGATGTCTCCTTAGACTTGCTTTCAAATTTCAAATAATTATGTCCTTTGGAGAGATTTTTAGAGTCTTTCCACTCCCCCCTCCCCTTTCTGTTTAGCTCTTGCTCTTATAAAACTAAGATTTGTATATACTTGAAGTGGCATTCAGATCATGAAAAACTGATGAGTATTTGGGACTCAGATTTATAAAATGGCAGCAGAATTCAAATGATAGAAGTTTCTGAATATAATTCATTGAAATCTTTAAAATGATGCTCTCCTTGCTGCTATGAACATTGGGATACTGATGGCCCTTGTTTTCACTACATCTGTATCTTTGGGGTAAATACCCAGTAGTGCAAGTGCAGGGTCATATGATAGCTCTATTTTTAATTTCTTAAGGAATCTCCACACTGTTTTCCAAAGTGGCTGCACCAACTTGCATTCCCACCAACAGTGTAAGAAGGTTCCCCTTTCTCCACAACCTCTCCAACACTTGTTGTTTACTGTCTTGTTAATGGGAAGAACCAAGATGCCCTTCAATAGACTAATGGATAAAGAAGATATGGTCCATATATAAAATGGAATATCATGCCTCCATCAGAAAGGATGAATACCCAACTTTTGTATCAACATGGATGGGACTGGAGGAGATTATGCTGAGTGAAATAAGCCAAGCAGAGAGACTCAATTATATGGTTTCACTTACTTGTGGAGCATAAGGAATAACACAGAGGACATTGGGAGAAGGAGAGGAGAAAGGTGTTGGGAGAAATCGGAGGGGGAGACAGACCATGAGAGACTGTGGACTCTGAGAAGCAAACTGAGGGGTTTGGAGGGGGGGGTGGGGGGGGTTGGGTGAGCCTGGTGGTAGGTATTGTTGAGGGAACGTATTGCATGGAGTATGGGTATGATGCATAAACAATGAATCTTGAAACACTGAAAAAATAAAGTTTAAAAAATAAATTCAGAAATATTTTTAATAAAAAGATAAAATAAAATGATGTGCCCCTCAATTCTTTATGAGGGGAAAAAAATAGCCAAACTTGTTTTAGCTAGTTTTGGTAATTTCAGTTTCTATAACAATCCCCAAAATCTCAGTAGTATATAATGAAATCTTATTTCTTCCTTATATAAAGTCTTGCAGTTTGCCAGATGGTTGTGCCATGCCTTCCAGAAGCCAGGCCCTTCCATCTGGGGGCTATATCTCTCTCTCATTCTTTGGAATCCTGGTTGGGGGAATTCTAAATACTCCATTTTCATCATATTTGTTCTAATAACTCCAGCACATATTGCCTCCTCACAAAGGACTGTCTTCATTTGCAAAGTGTGGAAAATTTCAGCCTTTTCAGAGGTTTTAAAAATGACAGCTTCATTGAGATAGAATTCATATGCCATATATTCACCATTTTGAAGTCTACAATTCAGTAGTTTTTAGTTATATTCACAGAGTTGTACCACCATCGCCACAATTTAAGTTGAATCATATTTGTCACTCCAAAAAGAAACCCCATACTTCTTAGCAGCTGTTCTCCATGCACTGTTCTCTCCAGCCTTTGGTAACCACTATACTTTCTGTTTCTATGGATTTGCATATTCTGGACACTTTATGTAAATGGAATTATAACATATGTGTTTTTTTGTGACTGGCTTCTTTCATTTAACATGTTTTGAAGGTTTATCCATACTGTGGCATGTATCACCAAACTTCATTCTGTTTTACAGCAGAGTAACGTTCCATTGTATGGATAGACCACATTGTGCTCATTCTTTCATTTGATCAACATTGGATTTGTTTCCACTTTTTGGCTGCTATAAATACTGTTGCTGTGAACATTTGTGTACAAGTTTTGTATGGACACAATATTTTTATTTCTCTTGGAGATATATATATATAGATATATATATATCTATCTATATATATATATCTCAGAGTGGAATTGCTGGGTCATATGGTAACTGTATATCAGAATTTTTGAGGATCTGACAAGTTGGTTTTCCAAAGCATGTGCACCATTTTACAATCCCACCAGCCATACAAGAGGGTCTAAAGGTTTAAGTTTTAACTCACTGTATGCTCCAACAAAGAAAAGCCACCTGTTTTTTAAAATTTTCCCTTCACATTTCGTTATCCTGAACCATTTTGCACTTTCTAAAGCAAAGACACAAAATCTCTCCTCTTTATGGTGACATTAAATGAGATGATACTCCAATAATTTCCTGTTTTATTTTTTCCAGCCAAGGAGAGATGTTAGAAGCAATTAAATACTTGAAAAAAGTTGTGAAAATTGCAGGAAACAATTTTCAAAGACTAGATGTTGTGAAAGCAAGTACAATGCTTGGGGATATCTACAATGAAAAAGTGAGTATATGTGTTTCATTCTTGTAGGGAGAAATTCTCAGAGTTTTAAAATTCTATTCCCATTTGACTCTCACCTACCCATAATATGTTATGCAGAATGACCCCAGGACCGCAGAGTTTGGTTAATGCACAGGGTAGTTACTTCCTCTTTTTCTAGGACCTGAGTGCCATCTTGGGCACAGTCACCACAAGCTGCTAAAACTGATTCATGTCTTCACAGCCAGTGAAGATTCCAAGTGGTTTTGGATTTGAAGAGCAATTAAAACATTTCAATTCAAAGAATATCATTATAATGGTTGGCTCTTATCTGCTGACACTAACATTCATCTCCCTTGCTTCAAATTCTCATTTTATTAATTCAGCAGTGATGGGCCTGCTAGGTTCTTCAGGAGAAGAAAGGACAATCCCAAGAGTAATTCTGAAGGAAATATGGAATTCTAACATCAGACTGGTTATGTGAAAGAAAAGAGAAAGAAGAGAAGGTCCAAAATAAAAGTATCTTATTCAAGAGACCATTACTAGTGAAATGAATTGGTCATAACACATTGATCTTTTGCTTGATTTTTCCTGAGTTTAGCTCTTATTACCCAGATCGTTCTTTTTTTTTTTTTTTAGATTTTATTTATTTATTTATTTATTTATTTATTTATTTATTTATTTTATAGACCAAGATTACAAGTAGTCAGAGAGGCAGGCAGGGAGAGAGAGGAGGAAGCAGGCTCCCCGCTGAGCAGAGAGCCCGACGTGGGGCTCGATCCCAGGACACTGGGATCACGAACTGAGCCAAAGGCAGAGGCTTTAACCCACTGAGCCACCCAGGCGCCCACCCAGATCGTTCTTCAAGAAACAGTATAAAAGAGGCTTTTTTTCTCTAGTTATAATTGCTGTTTTGATAATGATAGGATCTATCATTTTTGAGGACAGTTTCATTCTTAAACTGTTTCTATACCTTATCTTAGTCTTTAATGAGACGTTGTATACGTATTGATTAAAGGTACTAATTCTGAGACTAAACTCAGGTTTAGTAAGTGAAAAGCCTACTTCTTGCACTTGTAATAAGATCTGTAGCCTAGGACAACTTACCTTCTAGGTGCCTCAATTTTCTCCCCTTATAAGGTTATAGTGAGTATTGAGTTAATGAATGTAGAACAGTTAGAGAATAGCACCTGGCAGGGGAAGCAAGTGCCAACTAGATAAGCCGTTATTATTTGGCACACCTTGATGGGGTATCATACAATCTCCCTTTTCCCTGAGGCTCAGAGGGTTTAAGTAACCTACCCCAGGCCTCCACGTTTCTAGGTGGCAGTGGTATTCAAACCCATGCTCTTAATCACTACAGTCTTTTATTTGGCAGATAATTGACTTTTTGATGATTTCAGAATTATTTAGTCTTTTTTTAATTTTTTATTTTATTTTTTTCAGTGTTCCAGAATTCATTGTTTAGGCACCACGCCCAGTGCTCCATGCAATACGTGCCCTCCATAATACCCACCACCAGGCTTACCCAACCCCCACACCCCTCCCCTCCAAAACCCTCAGTTTGTTTCCCGGAGTCCACAGTCTCTCATGGTTCATCTCCCCTCCGATTTCCCCCAACTTATTTCTCCTCTCCTCCCAATGTCCTCTGTGTTATTCCTTATGCTCCACAAGTAAGTGAAACCATATGATAACAGACTCTCTCTGCTTGACTTATTTCACTCAGCATAGGTTTTTTTTTTTTTTTTCCCCCAAAGGAAACAGAGTTTTAAATTAATCCAAATGAATGAAACTACCATAGTTCCTGCTATGGGAAACATGCTTTTAAACAGGGTATCTGATTTCTTATTACACCTCCTCTCTCACTTTCTCTGGCTCATGTACTTCCTCTCTCCTATTACCCATGATCATTAAACCCCCTTTTGCTCTTGACTGTCACTCTCCTCCTTTTCTCCTCCCCTGCACGCCTTGCTCTTCTCTCCTCCCGTCTTTCTGGTCTGTCTTTCTGATCTCAGTGTTCCTCTCCCTATGATCCTGCCCACTTTGTTTCCCATCTTTCTTTGTGCCTCCTGCACCTGTCACCCCAGGTCTCTCTCTCCACTGTGTGCCCTTTCTGCTGCCCCATCTCTATGGTACAACTCTGCTCCGGTGACTCCTGGATCTTGTTTATGCTCTTGTTTCCTTTTTGGGATGCCATGCTGAAACACAGACAAGGCTCATGGCCTTATGAGACTGGCAGTCTAAGGGGAGCTTATCCTGTAGTAGCAGAATTTGCATTCCTAGGTTATACATATTCTTACTTGTTAAAAGGATTGTTCTTCAAAGCAGAAGTGCCAAAAACACAAATTGCCTTACCCTCCACCAAACAATGCCCAGAACTCAGTGTGTTAGTGTACCACAAACATTAAGTATCAGTGTATATTCTCCTAGTTACAGAAAGCATAAGGAAAATAAAAGGATAAACCCTTCTGAGGGGTCATTTTAATATTTGCATTTTTTAAGCTTTTTGCCAAGAGTTTGTATCTCATCAGTCTGTATTTTATTCTCTGGCTCTTAAGTCTTGAAGAAGAGTCTAATATCTTAAAGGCTGGAGACATGAATACTATCCAAAGACTATGACAATTACCAAAAGTTAATTTTTACTAGTATGTCCCAATTCTAATATAAAATTTGGAGGATTTCAGGTATTCATGCTATCTTCAAATATACAAATTCATTCATACATCTTAGTGACTCTTTATATTTTAATGTAATAAATGGTCACTGATAAATAGGGTAGTGATTTTTAATAGGGTTTTTTTTTGTTTTTTGTTTTTGTTTTTGGTTTTGGTTTTGGTTTTTCTTTGAGAGAAAGCATGACAGGGGAAGAGGCAGAAGGAAAAAGAGAGAGAGATTCTCAAGCAGGCACCACGCCCAGTTAAAAGCTTGATGCAGGGCTTAGTGTAACGATCCTGAGATCATGACCTGAGCCAAAATCAAGAGTCAGATGCTTAATTGACTGAACCACCCAGGTGCCCCTTAAGTATACAATACTATAACAATTTTATGACATCAAAGACTTCAAAACAAAACTTGATTTGTTATTAAAATTGTTAATGTTGCATTCAGTTATTGTGCATTATTGTGATTCTTTGTGGGTACTTCCTCAAGTCAAAAATCCACTGATTACTTCTCAGGCTGACTGAGTTGTTAAATCATTCCCAAGAGTATGATTTGAAAACATATGACAAAGTGAGTTTATTAGAATCTAATGTAGTTATTTTTCCTTCTTATTCTTTTTTTTTAAGATTTTATTTATTTATTTGACAGACAGAGATCACAAGTAGGCAGAGAAGCAGGCAAAAAGAGAGAGGAAGGGAAGCAGGCTCCATGCTGAGCAGAGAGCCCGATATGGGGCTCCATCCCAGGACTCTGAGACCATGACCTGAGCCGAAGGCAGAGGCTTAACCCACTGAGCCACCCAGGTGCCCCATTTCCTTCTTATTCTTTTGAAACAGGGAGATAGCTTTGATGACATCCTGAATTTCCTTCTAGTTCTGCAAAGTCATTTCCTAGGAAAATACTGACAAGGAATTATTTCATGTCTCTTATTTCAGCTGCTTATGGATATTTCTTAATGATATTAGATCCCTTTATTCAAGTTATACACCTGAACAATCTTATAAGCTGTTTGCATCACATCCTATCTATTATGCTTTTTCATGAAGGAAACTTGCAGGACAAAGAGGAGCCTCACTGATTTTTGCCCCCTTCCCCTTGAATCTGCACTCAGCTACTTATTAACTGTGACCTTGGGCACAAGAATTCTTTGATTTTCAGTTTCTTCATGTTTCAAGTGTCAATAACAAGATACCTTGAAAAACTATATAAGGATTAGGAATTTCTAAATATGTACGTGGTGCCTAGTCGAGTGCCTAGCATATGTTGGGTATACAAAAGCACTTAACCTCTTAGCACACTCCGGCTCACTCCCTTCAACTTCAGACTCCTATCCCACCGCCTGCCCGACATCTTCACTTAGACTTCAAATATAACCTGTTAGAAATGAACTCATCATTTTTCCTTAAATTCGGTTCCCCTATTAACTTCATGCTCAACTATGATAGAATATGACCCAGGTATTTTCTAAGCAAACCTCTCAATCTATGAGCTCCCCCTATCTGACTTCATCTAGGCTCATGACCTTAGATATGCTGAAGACTTCCAAATTTGTATCTCCGGTTCTGCTCTCTCCTTGGGACTCCATGCTTGTAAATCTAGCTTTAGACATCTTAAATTTAACAGAATTCCTTCCTCCCAGTCTTCTCCATCTGAATAAATGGCGTCATTATCCAGTAGCCCAGCTGCTCAAACCAAAAATCTGGGTATTCTTTGATTCTTTTCTCCTTCCTGCTCCATATCTAATCCAGAAGCAAACCCTGACCTTTATGCCACCAAAACATATCTGAGATGCACCTCCTTCTCTGTATCTGCTACTATCATCCCATCAGTTTGTGACACTGTTTTCTCACCTGCCCTACTGCAGGAAGTTCAAGCCCAAGTAGTCCTTTTAAATGTAAATCAAATTGTGTTATTTCTCTACTTAACACACTTCCATTACTGCCCATTCTTCTGGGAACCTGAAATAGTCTAGGTGAGATGTACACCAACTCACCCCATCTCTGACTTTATTTCTTACTCTTCTTATCGACCCCACCACAGCCAAATGGACTTTTGAAGTTCTTCAAATATGTGGAGCTTTTTGCTGCCTTAGACATTTACCCTAGCTGGAATACGCTATATGGAATGCTTCCCAATCTGAGCTTCATATCCCTGAATTATTGTCCTCATATCTCAGTTAGATGCCACATCTTCAGAGAGGCCTTCCCTTGGCAACTGACTAAAAGTAGCCACATGGGTGAAGGTAGTTCAAAGGTACAAACTTCCAGTTCTAAAAGAAGCAAGTCTTGGGAATGTAATGTACAGCATGGTAATTACAGTTAATAATACTGTATTGTATATTTGAAATTTACCAAGAGTAGCTCTTAAAAGTTCTCATCACAAAAAAATTTGTAACTATGTGAGGTGGTGTTAACTACACTTACTGTGGTGATCATTTAGTAATATATACAAATACTAATCATAATGTTATATACCCAAAACTAATATAATGTCATATATTGTCAATACATTATATGTTATATATGACAATATAATTGTCACATAATGTCAATTAGACCTCAATTTTAAAAAGTATATGAAGGTGCTTTGAAAAGGTACTTGTATTTTATAATATAAGATGGCATTATTGTTATTCATGAGGAAAACTGTTTAATCACAGCTACCATTTCTGTGATTTGAGTGCTCAAACACATTTTCTAATCTAAAATGATGAAATCTAATCCACTATATTCTGTGGGGCTTTCTAGGCATTTGAGAGAGAAGCCAAAAACTTCAATCAATAAAAGTATCTGTTTTGTTGGAAAAATAAAACCTTTTCTTCCACTTAACCAAAATATCTGAAATCTCCATATTTCCTGTTTCTGTTCACTGAAGTCCTGAAAGCTGCATGCCAAAATAAAAATCATATGAAGAAGAAAAGAAGTAGCCACCGGGTACTCTTTAACATTACATTAATATTTCACATAGCACTCATCTCCTAGTTTTCTTGTTTATGATATCTTCTTAGTGTTGTTTAATTTGGCTAGAATAGCTTAATGAGAATAGGGACCATATCTACCTTGTTTATTATTTTGTTCTAGATCCTAAATGAGAAGTTGGCACAGAGGTGGTGAGCAAAAATATGTGAATATTTTTAATCAATCAATAAATTTGTAACCAGTTTTCTACCTCAGGAGAGTAAGAATCTCTCACTTTAGGAATTCCAAACTTCTATTTCATTTTTGTACAATGATTCTGAAAACTTGTACTGAATCTTTAAAAGCAAATCTAATATTCCTGGTACTGGTCAGTCTTCCTCATCATCTCTTTTCTTCCTTAATATTATTCATGCAATGTATTCTAATTGTATTCCTTATAATCACATCTAAGAAATAATGTTATTATAAGAGCACAACTATAAGACTGTATTTGGAAAAAATATTAGAATTAACTGTTTTCTCTAGTTATTATAGTGTTGTTATAATTAACATTAGCACATCTTTAAGAGATCATTTATTCTAATTAGTTTACCTTTACTATATAATCATAGAAGATGGGCCACCCATCCCACCCTCCTGATGTGATCTCTTGATGAAAATATAGAATTAATATAAAGTAGCAAAATGAGAATGCTTTAGGGAACAAAAGTAGATACAGACTCTTTGTCGGGTTTCCACTCAGCAATGAGTCTCTTTCTCCATCTCCCTCTGCCCTTTTCCCCTGCTCATTCTCAATTCTCTCTCTCAAAAAAATAGATAAAATCTTAAAAAAAAACCACACACACACAAATAAAAAAGTGATAGTTCCAGACTAAAATAGTGAAGAAAATGTGTAAAAAATGGCTTTTCCTTAGTACTAGGAAATGTTCTTTTATTTTTGAGCTTGCTCATTGTATAGAGTGACAGACACACTGAGAAGTATCTGGTAAGAATCAGAAAAATGCATGAAAATTCTATATTATAGTGTAATAATGGAAGCTTTGTTTTAAGGTCTACGATGTCATCAAGATACTGTCCTGCAATTGTCCCTTAAATGCTTACCAGTGATATTTATAACACTAAGCAAAGTTCTCTTTTCCAGTAAGAGGCAATCGTGAAGTGATTAATTCACTTATATATTCTCAGATTCATATTTAAGATTGCCAAGATTAATTATTAGAATCTTCTGAATTTTATAATAGGAAAGGGATTAACTGATAACAGAATCGAACTGTAGAACATTGGACAGAACCTTTGGAGAAGAGATTAAATTTAGATATTAAGCTCTTTAAGAATTGAAAATCTAGAAATACAATACACAGTAATGAAATCTCATTCCAAAATGGTATGTATAAAAATCCTTGCATCTTAGAAGAATTAATGTACTTCCTTAATAGTGTTTTAAACTAGAGAAATTTAGGTCGATACCAGTTTTATGGCAGTTGTGTCTGTGTCTAGCAATTGAATACTAAGCTCAATTTGCGGGAAGAATAATTATATGTAATTATAATTATAATTAAATAGTTATGAATAATTATAATGCTCCTATTTTGGGGGAAAAAAACACTTGTTAGAGAGGATCTAATATAAATTTTAGGCATAGTAAATTCTGTTAACTGCTGAATCCCCACTGCTTGGCATGGAGCTTCGTACATAGTAGTTGCCTGATAAACGAGGAAGTTCATTCTAACAATAATATATAAAGTAATTCTTGAAATTTAAATGTATGTCCATTTATTTATGGCCCCTAATTTCCTAATTAAGACTTTCATCTAAGACAATAAATAGCTTAATGCTCAGAAATATAATTAGAACAATAATTATTTATACTTCTCTGTTTTTAAAAATAGAAATGTAAGGCCTAATCACATATGTTCATTTATTTTATCCTATATCTTTGATGTTTAGCAGAACAATCCAAAATATTAACTAGCTTTATTTCCATCTTCAATATTTGCATTGTTCCTCAATCATATAATATACTTACCATATAAATGTCTTTGATACATTTTATTTTTTCTAATTAAGTAACCATATCCTCATATAAGTTCTATGCTTTACATTTTGAAATAAAAGAATCACTATCTCAACAAACAAAAATTATTATTGATAAAATATAGAGCGATTGTGTTTAAATTAGTAAGATTAATTGCAATGAACCATTTGAGTAAAGAGTTCACTAAACCATCCTGTGGGTCTATAACATAGTATTATACTGCTTATGTATGTAACATAACTGTCACACAAGCCCTATTTCTCCCCTCCTCATCTTCCAGCAACTTTTGTATCCAATCAGTTTGCTGTCTGAACACCATGACTATACAGAGATGCATGGAGTTGAGTATGCATTTTGCCTGTACTGGGGTATGGTATAGGGTGTTTCAATGGTGTTTGTATTACCACCTCCTTCATAAAATGTTGTGAGAAAATAATTTGAAAACTTATAAAAAAAATATTCTCTCATAATATTCTCTCTTCTCAAAAGTGTGTGCATGTGTGTTTTTGTGTGTATGAGCAAGAGAGAGAGGAAGGAGAGGAGAGGAGGGAGGGGAAGGGGAGAGGAAAGGAGATTTACAAGTCAGTGAAGAAAGGAAACTTCGTTCCCTAGCGTCTTAAAAGTATAGGCTCAGTCCTAAAAATGATATCCTCCATTGAGGAAAACGTTTTCATGAGGATTTTTAGAAAATTTGGAGGTTGGCAGAAGGGAGTCTCTTTCCTGAGGCTCAATTTCATTATTTGTAGAATAAGAATAATATTTTCTCACGGGATGACTTATGAAAGTTAGTGACATAATATATGAAGTACTTAGCACTGGCCCTGACACTTTTAAAGCTATCGTGGATAATAGCTTATAGGAGGGTAGGAGAGTATGATCAAAAAAGCCCACAAAACCTAAAAAAACAGAAAACCGGCTTGATTTTTTTCAATGAGTTGTGCTAGTGCCATTAGGATCATTATTTTTCAGGAATCTTGATTACCTCCGATGTTCTTAGTCAAGAATGACCTAAGCACATGGGGAAAACAAGAGCAATAACCAGATCAGCAGATAAATACATCAATTTTCAGTGGCCCCGTAAATCCGAAACAGATTGGCTGAAAATGATCTCTTGCTGTGACTAAAAACAACTGGTTAAAATGCTTTATTAGGTAAATCCAGTGCTACAAGTAGGAAAATTACATCCAAATTAATGTGAATTGGACCACTCTTTCCCAGACTTCCCAACCTGTACCAGGTTGAACCATTTGAAAATGCTAACATTTGATCATTTTTAATCCAAAAAAGCTTACGATTCATATAGTTCAACTTGATAGATAAAGCTCTTTTAGTATCCTAGCTTCAAGATATTGTATGGTTAGTAATCACAACTTTTTAAAAGAACCTTATTCTCATAGAGTCCCTGCCTGCCATCTCTTTCTTCTAAAAGATGAATGCTGTAACTGTTGAAAGAGAAGTTTGGTACATACCAAGGTGAGCAGATATGTGGAAAGATAGAATAAAAAATTAAGAAAGAAATGATTTCTCTTACATCTTTAGGGATACTACAAGAAAGCTTCACAATACTTTCAGCAAGCTTTCAACACAACAGCAGAGCTAACAAACTTGAGTCAAATGGATGAAACGAAAGTGCATTATGGAATAGCAAAAGCTCATCAGATCATGCAGAGGGTTAACAGTTACATCGAGTCTGAAGATCTAACCAGCCTTGGCTACCTGCTGTCATGGAAGGAGAATAGAGACAGCATTGTGTGTGATCCGACTAATGGTGAGACTTCAGTTTTTGAAAACAGTTTAGTTTTTGTATCATTCTTAATGGCTCCATCAGTGATTTTGATTTTATTGGTAGTTTTAACTTTATGTATGCCTTACTACATAAATATTGGATGTGCCTTCATGCTATATTATAACTTTGATGATAAGGAAAGCATAAAATGTGGTAATGATTAGTTAAACTTGACAAATCACCAACCTCATGTTCTTTTTTTCAGTTAAATATTCAACAACATGCACTAATCAGAATGTGAGAATGTGTTGTTTTAAAAGTTCATTGTTGTACCTTGTTGACAAGAACAAGTCACAGATGTTAGTTCACAGATGCTTATCAGTATTAAATGCAATTAATATTTTACTCTTACTTTGCTGATGGTAGTAAATTTTCCTATATTTGATCAATTCAAGTTAGAATATTAATTTAGAAAATGTAATATTAATTTCTCTTAACTCCACTTATTTTCATACATAATTTTTCTTGTGATAATTAGTCAGAGCAGTCAATTAAAAACAAATAACTAGAAGTGATGTGAATGTCATTTTCATGTGTCAACTTGACTGGCTCCAGTCCTCAGTTAAGAACTTCAGAATCGGGGGGCACCTGGATGGCTCAGTGGGTTAAAGCCTCTGCCTTCGGTTCAGGTCATGATCCCAGGGTCCTGGGATCGAGCCCCACATCAGGCTCTCTGCTCAGCAGGGAGCCTGCTTCCTCCTCTCTCTCTCTGCCTGCCTCTCTGCCTACTTGTGATCTCTGTCTGTCAAATAAATAAATAAAATCTTAAAAAAAAAAAAAAAAAAAAAAGAACTTCAGAATCGGATTTTTAAAATTTTTAACAGTACTGCCTATCACCAGACCCTTGGGTTGCATAATTGTTGGTAAATCAAACTTTCTCAAGCAAAATATTTTAGGGATATTTGGGATAGCACAAATGGAATCATAGGCACAATTCTGGTATGTAAAGAACCATCTCCTGCTTGGAACTCTTCCTACCCCCCATTAGGTCATTTAGAGGAAACAATAAGCTCTTTAGTTTTTATTTTCTCCATAGAATAAATAGTAAATAACAGTAAATTGTGCACAAATGAATCTTATTGCTTCTTTTATATTAGCAGAATTAGTAGTGTAGTATTAGTAGAATACCACTTACCACTGTCTGTCCTCTAGTTAGGAAATAAGTAAAGGTCTCATTCCAAATATATGTACAGGATAAAGTCTTCAAAAACAGATGGCTTCTTGAATTTCAATGTGCTTGAGTGCCCAACAAATATTTACAGGTAACTATTAACTAACCACTTTTAGATAATATTTTGTTCACTTCAGGATGTTGTGTTATATACTTGAGAGCTTGCTCTGTAGTTTTGAGTTATCTTCCCTTTACTCCCTCATCTTGTCTGCCCAGGAGAGAAAGCAGAGGAAATATGATGTATCTATCTCTTAGATTACTTCTTCTGATAAAAGATTTGGTAGAAAATAAGTTGGGCTACTCCCCTTTTTCTGATTTACTTGGATAAGCTCTAGCCATCACCCTAATAATCATGGAAAAAAAAAAAAAAAAAAAACTCAAGGGGCGCCTGGGTGGCCAGTGGGTTAAAGCCTCTGCCTTCAGCTCAGGTCATGATCTCAGGTTCCTTGGATCCAGCACCCCATCGGGCCCTCTGCTTGGCAGGGAACCTGCTTCCTCCCGCCCCCCCTCTCTCTCTGCGTGCCTCTCCGCCTACTTGTAATCTCTGTCTGTCAAATAAAATCTTTTTTAAAAAAACAAACAAACTCAAAACTAGAGAGTCTAGTTCTTCTATTTGCTGCAATCCTGTTTGGGGCTTTTTCAAAAATCTCCCTTGTTTTTTCTTCACTCTATAAAGCTATTTCTTTCTTTTTTCTTTTTTTTTAACATTTTATTCTCATTTTTGGTGAGGGTGTTTTGTGTTTCAAAGGGCTTAGGAGTAAAACAAAACAATGCATTTCAAAACATTATTCAGAAACAAACCGAGGGTTGCTGGAGGGGTAGAGGGGTAGGAATAGGGCGGCTGGGTGGTGGGCCTTGGGAAGGGTATGTGCTATGATGAGTGCTGTGAATTGTGTTAGACTGATGAATCGCAGACCTGTACCCCTGAAACAAATAATACATTATATGTTAATAAAAAATATTATTCAGAGAGTAAAAACTCAGCTATTCCTATGGTGGAGAAGATTAAATTCTCTGAAATGCTATAAAAGTACACCCCCTTCCTGATTCATTTGACCAAGATTAGAAATCTATGCGTGGATGAGCTATGTTATTATAAAAATGAAGACTACTCCTCTAGATTCAAATGTAAATGAGAAGTTAAGTCTTCTACTACTGGCATTTTTTTGGTGGTAGCTGTCCTATTTGGAAATAAAACCTGCAGGACATTATCAAACATACTCGCTTGTATGTTTACATGGACATATTTTAGTTCAAAATACACTAAAATGTGCTTTTTAAATGCTTCAAAAGTGTTTCTTAAACTACAACACTTACTATTCTATTTTTTCTCTGCTTCAAAAACTTCACTGGATCCCTACTGCCTACAAATTCTGTACAAGTTTCATAATGTTTTTTGACCACCTCCCTTTCCCTGGCTACCCCCTCATGCCCCAGACACACATAATGTACATTAATACCACCTTACTTCCAACTCCAGCCCCATCCAGGGAAATGTTTTCCATGGTCCTTCTGAGATGTTGAAATCCTCCCTGATCCCCATCTTACTTGACTGTTGTCTCTTCTCTCTGTTCCCACATTGAATGTCATTCATTTTTGTCCAAGCACTTTTCACTTGTCCTATTCTACATTCTGTCATGACCATTTCTGTAATTGCCTTATCTGCCCAGTGAGAGTATGAGTGTCTTGAAAACAGATTCTGATCTTTGGTGTTTCCTCCAAAGGAAAGCACAATGCCTAACATCTGCTAGGTACCAAGGAAATATTTCCCAAATTAAATAGAATTCAAAATGAGTATGTATGTCCTAGCCATGAACAAGTTTGCACTAACCACTTTTTAAAACAGGATTCATAGTTCCATATCTCCTTGAAAAAACAACAACTACAAAACCACTATGATCCAATACCGTGTTTTGATTCCATGTGGTTATCACGTGAATTCAGGACAAGTGTGATGTTGACAAAATGAAGAAATATGGAAATATTATTTGGAAATCTGAGCAGCTTTTAGGTTTCCAAATTTTGCCTTTCTTCTCTGAAGAGACGTCTTTAATCTTGCCATTGAGGGGTCCCATGTATTCAGAAAAAAGCAGATCAAAGATTTGAAAGATACATTATAAAAGCTGTGCAGTTATCTCCACCTCTGAGACTTACATCCTCCAAACAAATCATTAGCTCACAGAGCAGGCAATATTCTTTTAAGCAGAGGAACATGACCCCCTAAGGGAATAGAACAGTGAGAGCACTCAGGTCTCTAGATAAAATGGAACAGTGATTCACCAGCAATCATCTCTCCTCTTTGTACCTTTCAGAGGGAACACAGCAAATATAGGAACCTTCATACCATTCTAATACTCTCAGATATGGTTGGAATGATTTCACCTTCCTCCTTTTCTTTCCAATAGTAAAATAAGAGTAGATTCTCCTCCCAAATTTAGGAATTTAGAGGGAATTCAAATTTATTTCAGTTCAATAAAATTATTCAAGCCTGAAGCAACAGAAATTGGTTGGCTCTGGAAGGATTAAGGGCCTATGAATTTCTGCTGATTTCTCCAGAACATAGTTTATTTTTCCTACTAGAACTATTATGCCTCCAATCACGAATTTTTTTTTTTTAATGGATAGCTAATTCATCTTGCCTTGTGGAGATTATAGACCCAGATGTGGAACAGTGACAGAGAAAGAAAAGCTTTTCTTGTGCAACATAAGAGAACTGTTAACTTAGAAATGTAATTACAGCCATTTCATTGCCAGTGTGGTTAACCACTTCATTGATAATATCAGTAACATGGGTTTAATGCACATTCTTATTTTAGCCAAATGTAAATTATATCAGAGAAATAGGATGCAAATTCTGAGTATGGAAATAGATGAATACACCGGATAGTCAGTAAAGACACTGTTTTCTACAAAATGACATGCAAAGGTTTCCTTGAGTACCAAAAATACCACTCTCACTTTATGAATCATTTAATATTCTTAAAAGAAAACAGTCAAGACCATGAATTTGTCTCTCAGCCCTTGGTTTATGTGGGTTTAATGTCGAGTCCTTGGTTCGATGTTGAGCCATGTTTTCCCACCCTGTTCTTTGCTTGTATTTTTTATTCATGAACTCAGCCCTTTTAATGAATGTGGAAAAGCCACATTCATGAGTGAGCCTCATGTTCTATTATACTTTGTTCAGCTGCTTCAGTTAAATAACCCTAACAATGAGGAGAAAGTTCTGGAATTAGCCAAAAAGTCTGGAAGTGGGTTTTATAGCGTCTTATTGTCACAGAGCAAACCTCTGTCTCTTTTTAATGTGTTCAAAAACATAACACATAAAAAAAAGATTCTGGTGAAAAATCTGACTGAATCAAAGCTCACCCTACTGGTATTTTGGATAATTGAGGGGAGAGTGTTATGTAAGAGTCCGGTGATCTAGGTTCTAATACTATATTGAGCCCTCATTAGCTTTGTGACTTTGGGCAAAGATTTCAATTCAAGTCTCTCTATCTAAAGTTCAAAACAGATCATTAATAAGATTCTCTGGGACTGATAACAGTTCCTCTGTAGGAGCATCTTCTAAATAAATATGGTATTTTGTAGTTCAATCTAGATTTTCGTGAGCATTTTATTGTTGTTTTTCCCCCATAAATACTTGTTTCTGTGGGTTTCCCCAAAAGGGAATTTTATTATGGTTATTATTATTATTACTATTTTAATATATCAAACAGCTATAAAAATGCCAGGTACAAATATTTGATCTTTCTGCTAGAACTTATAATAAAGGACTTTCTAGCTATCTGCCATCATATGCAGTTTGACCTGT